TCAAGGCATCAGGTCACACTTGGTGGATGAATATTAGTTTTTTTACTATCGAACAATGGAAACCAGAATTCACAGTTGATTCTTTTTTTTTAGCTTCGCTGTCATCGAAGATGACCGAGCGAAGCTCATTAGTTGACCCAATCTGTCGTCATCTGTATGTCAGTTGTCCACTTTTTTCATTCAAACGACTTCTTCTTCAAAACCGTCAGCTAGATTGCCTTGCTATTCATACCACACCTACCTATATCATAACGTCACATGTAAACCTCTATTTTGGGGGGATATTTTTGTCAATTAGGGTTAAAAATGATTTTTGTCCACAGCCGCTTGTCAGATTGCTTTGCAATTTGGCATGAATGTTGTTGACATGAATTACACTCAGACCTATTATAGTGATGCTTAATAGTGAGGGTGGGAGGGACTATAACACCTCCAAAAAATCTTCAAGCTGGCTCAGGGTCATCTCAAGGTCACGTGTTGATTGCATGTGTGTTGGGGGATAGGACGTCACCCCTCTATCAAGATCTTTCAAGGAAAGATCAAGGTCAATATCACATGTTACTTTGCCATATTGTTTAACTTTGTCATTCTTAATTCAGTCGCATGTACAGTAACTAAATAATGCAAAGATATATTCTGGTAATAGTGACAACAACTTCATGGTTCAACTTTAGATTCCTGCACATCCACATCATCAAACACAAATACGAATTAGGAAGATATCCTACTTCTGCAAGGTACTTCTGCACCTATATTCTGTGCTTCAGATTGTTATGTTATATTTGAATAGATGACCCCATAGTCACCCCATTATTACTAGTATGTGATAACATGGCTCACACATGGATGGTCACTTATGTGAGAACAGGGCTCACACATGGATGGTCACTTATGTGATAACATGGCTCACACATGGATGGTCACTTATGTGAGAACAGGGCTCACACATGGATGGTCACTTATGTGAGAACAGGGCTCACACATGGATGGTCACTTATGTGAGAACAGGGCTCACACATGGATGGTCACTTATGTGAGAACAGGGCTCACACATGGATGGTCACTTATGTGAGAACAGGGCTCACACATGGATGGTCACTTATGTGAGAACAGGGCTCACACATGGATGGTCACTTATGTGAGAACAGGGCTCACACATGGATGGTCACTTATATGATAACAGGGCTCACACATGGATGGTCACTTATGTGATAACATGGCTCGGACGTGGATGGTCACTTATGTGACAACAGGGCTCGGACGTGGATGGTCACTTATGTGACAACAGGGCTCGGACGTGGATGGTCACTTATGTGACAACAGGGCTCGGACGTGAATGGTCACTTATGTGACAACAGGGCTCGGACGTGGATAGTCACTTATATGATAACATGGCTCACGCATGGATGGTCACTTTTGTGATAACATGGCTCACACATGGATGGTCACTTATGTGATAACATGGCTCACACATGGATGGTCACTTATGTGATAACTGTCTCACCTACTATTGTGCTCTTTTCCTGTTATTAGTCACAGTCAAAAAACAGTAACTTTTGACCTCTGTGTGTGCATCTGTGTGTCTCCATCTGTATCTCAGACATGCCTGGTTGATTGCATTCAAACTTCTTAAATGCATCATATATCTTGAAATGTTGAAAATTCATCAAGCATTCCTGCCATTTTGATTTGGTTCAAACATTGCTCATGCATTAGACATTATGGGACCTTTTTGTACATCATTTTTACCTCCGCTGTCGACTTTGTCGAGCGGAGCTTATCATATGAGTGATTGTCCGTCGTCGTCGTCCGTGTCAATGTTTTACTTTTTCGACTTCTTCTTGAAAACTACAAGCCTAAATGCTTTGATACTTGGTGTATATGTACCTTGGGTAGACCTCTCTTAGGTTTGTTCATTTCATGTTGATATCTTCAATTCTCTAATTTTGGTGAATATTTTTGTCATTTTTGGTAAAAAGTGATATTTTCAACTTCTTGTTAAAAACCAAAAGTTCAATTGCTTTGATATTACATATATAGATACTACATGTAGACCTTTCTCAGATTTGTTCATTTCGTGATGATATCTTCAATTCTCTAATTTTGGTGAATATTTTTGTCATTTTTGGTAGAAAGTGATATTTTCGACTTCTTGTTAAAAACTGTAAGTGCGATTGCTTTAATACTATACATATTGTTCATTTTCTAATGATGTCTTCAGTTCTTTAATTGAAATGTGCATTGCTAACAGTGGAGCTATCTCAGCCGATAGGCTGCTTGTTAGTGATGTCATGACCTTGATCTGATTCAGTGACAGATGGGTTGTACCATTACCAGTCTCAGTGGGAAATGTTGAGGGGTGTCGGGGCTACATTTTGATGGGAATTATAGTGGTGATAATGAAACAAACCCAGGTCCTGGTAATATACAAAGACCTGAATTAACAAAGAAGTCAAGTTGTTATTGTAGATACATCAAGGTTTAGTCAGATTTATAAATGCAGTTTCTTGAGCATGTAATAATAATATTTAATAGACGCATAAAATCCTTAGAAAAGAATAAAAAGGGTCTTGCAAAACGAAATTTAAAAACTATAATCTAAAAAGCAAAAAAATATTCTAAAAATATAAAACAAATCAAAAACAAATGTGAATAAACATTAAAGACACTTTGCAACCAATGGTGAATACAGAATATAGAATGAACACAAATTATAACCTAATACACTGATAGTTGTTTTGTTCCATAGACAGCTATGAGACATAGTTTGGTTGCACTTTGGACCCGAGTCAATGAAAGTAGTGTAAATATTAATTCAATTGTTTGCAGATGTTCCATGTATTTTTTTAACATGAGTATTTTAAAATTAAATAACTGGGACTGTGACATTCAGGTTTACATTATCATGTGATGGTCTAATTCTGATTGTGGTATGAAGTTCTTTGTTTCAAATATTGACTTCTTTATGCTATTCTTACCATCTTTTATATGTTATGTTTCAGGCAGCAAAATGTGCCATAAAGGTTGAAATGGTAGATAGTGATTGTATGGAATTACGCGGAGAGATAGCTGGCCCTCCTGATACCCCCTATGAAGGTGGCAATTTTATACTGGAAATAAAAATACCAGAAACGTATCCATTTAATCCTCCAAAGGTGAGATACAGTGATGTGTCTGTACATACCTGGGTACTGGAGTAAATCAATCTGTATTCATGTCAACAAACTTTTAAAACTAAAACTTTTTACAGAGATTCGATGCACTGTTTATTACCCCAAGAACCGTGCAGTAACACAAAAACAAAATGGCATAACAATTGCAATTGGCAAAATTATATAGATACATTGTATGATTTGAAAACTACATGTTTCGTTTTGTTTTTTATAGATAAGGTGCAAATCTGGCATATACCATATATTTTATTACAGGTACGTTTTGTAACAAAAATATGGCATCCTAATATAAGTTCTAAAACTGGTGCTATTTGTTTGGATATATTAAAAGATCAGTGGGCAGCAGCTATGACATTGCGTACAGTTCTACTATCATTACAAGCATTATTAGCAGCTGCAGAACCAGATGATCCACAGGATGCAGTCGTCGCAAAACAGGTATGGCCCAATTTACACATTGTCTTGTTTCATTAATACATTATTAGCAGCTGCAGAACCAGATGATCCACAGGATGCAGTCGTTGCAAAACAGGTATGGCCCAATTTACACATTGTCTTGTTTCATTAATACATTATTAGCAGCTGCAGAACCAGATGATCCACAGGATGCAGTCGTCGCAAAACAGGTATGGCCCAATTTACACATTGTCTTGTTTCATTAATACATTATTAGCAGCTGCAGAACCAGATGATCCACAGGATGCAGTCGTTGCAAAACAGGTATGGCCCAATTTACACATTGTCTTGTTTCATTAATACATTATTAGCAGCTGCAGAACCAGATGATCCACAGGATGCAGTCGTCGCAAAACAGGTATGGCCCAATTTACACATTGTCTTGTTTCATTAATACATTATTAGCAGCTGCAGAACCAGATGATCCACAGGATGCAGTCGTCGCAAAACAGGTATGGCCCAATTTACACATTGTCTTGTTTCATTAATACGTACATTATTAGCAGATGCACACTTTTGTAGAGTTTAATTATCTACATGATGCAGTCATAGCTAAAATAAGGGTGGGCCATTTTTTGGTCTAGAATGTAGGTGCTGATATTCACTGCCACTATATCTATCCATTATCCTAACCTGTAGAATCATTGCAACTATATCTGCATGACTACCTGTGCACACACACTGAAATCAACTGAAAGCATTTTATTTACATTTCTAAAATGGTGGTGTGGGTGTTATGGTACAATTAATTTTTATGTTGTTTTGGCTTAGTACAAAGAAGATCCACAAGCATTTGAAGACACAGCTAGACATTGGGCACAGGTATATGCACAAGCACCATGTAATAATCCTGGATGTTCTGCCAAAGTTAATCAACTTGTAGATATGGGATTTACTGAGGTAAGAAAAAATATAACAGTTCAAATTTTTAGTTTTATTTGCAAGTCCATGTTCCTGTCTGTATCATAAACACACGCTGAGTGATTCTGCACAATACAACAGGGTTCTCTCCAGGCTCAGACCACTAATAAACAGGCTGGCAACACAGGTATTTTTTTTTATCTAACAAGTGTCTTGTGTTTACTTTTGAGATAACGTTTTAATCTTATAAACAACTGGGGGAGATGAGAAAATGTCCACAAAGTCACATGATAACACATGACTTCGCGAGAAACTGCGGCTTTTCAAAAGGTCAGAATGAAGTTTCATATTTCCCTGACGTTAGTGATTCTCGCGAACCCACAGACATTAATAAAACAGGTTCAGGTAACAATAAAACAGAAAGTATAATTTTCAGTTGCAGGTCAAACTAAATAGCAATAGAAATAAATCAGGTGGAAGTAAGTAATAAGTGTTTTCTCGTTGCGACGTTGCTAAACACATCTACAAAATCAAAACATTGTGTCAGTACTATTTTCTGAGTAGCACATTTTCAAAGGGTTTATATTACATGATCGACGAATTATAGTAACATAAGACCAGCTTTGTTGTAAACTTAGCGATGTGAACTATCCTTGCTTAATTTACTTTAATTTGCTTAACAATCAAGAAAAAATTGCCGATAAAAGTTGTTCCTTTTTCTTAATTATACATTCAAGAACATTACTATGAAGATAGTCCAATTTAGCGAAGCTTGAGCCAACAGCATAGCCGACATACACGTTTGGCGGGGATAAGGCCGATTGATGCCTCTAAACAACGGCGTTACCAGACTGTTCATTAGTGACCTGAGCCTAATTAACATAATACATTGTTATGCAAATTAACCAATACATCATGGCTGTTGACCAATGTTTTTTGTACTCCATACCTAAACAAAATGGAACCTTGATGCACCTTTCAGTGTCAGTGACATGCCTAGACAAATTAAGCATCTTGTGAATTCCTGATTTGTGATAATGTTTGTGTATGCTTGTACATTGTGATACTATAGATATGTAAGGTATGTGATGTTGTCATTGTGTTCTGTTTTCAGACTGCATCCAGAGAAGCGTTATCCATGCATAGTTGGGATGTTGAAAAAGCTGTAGAGTATCTTATGAGCTGAAGTACATTTTGTATAAAGTTCACTGTAAATACTGACTGTACCAATCAACACAGTATAGTTAAAAACAATTGTACAGCCTAGTTGTGCTTTGAAATATGGACCGTGGTTATTGATCCACATTTTGTAATGAACTTAGATATTAGATTAGTTTCAGTTATATATGATATGATGCCCACCTGAATAGGTGTGTTCTTGCAGGTAAGATAATGTGCAATGCTGGCGTGTACACTCTATGTAACTTATTAAACGTAGCAACAGGGGAATACATAAATAATTTTTGAGATAGTCACTGGTGTAAGTTTCAAACGATGCAACTATATCATTGTATATATTTCTTTGCAGTGGGGATGTATGTAGGTGAATATGACATACACATGTACTTGTGTCTTATTTGTTAGTCCCTGTTCAGACACAGCATAAAAACAGCACTGCTGCTGTCTTCTCATATTAATCAAACTTTGCATGTAATATTTTAATTTGTTATATTTCATTATTTAGTAAATCAGTTCATTCATGGCCTATAGACAAAATATCCCACATTATTTTCTCAAAAATCGTTGATTGTACTTTGGATTGACAGTTGGTTTTAGAAGTTCTGCAATATTTTTTTCAAATGTGTGTATTCAAAATTTGTTTTCATGATTTATTGAATTGACTAAACCCGTTAACAACAATCAAAGTAAAAATTGTTCATAGTAGTCACCACATTTACAAAATGTCAATAAAATAGGATGTGGCAAAAGTTAACTGAAAACCACTTGTAAATACTTTATCAGTCTGCATTCTTTTGAGTCTGGGACAAAAGAGGAGAGTTCTCCAAAAGAAAGCATTTAGTTACTAATTTGATTACACCAATAGCATGATGCAATGTTTCTATCATAGACCACCTTAGGCTATGTGGGTTTACTCTGGAAATGTCAACAAGCGTGGGTATCTAGCAGTGTTTCTTTATTTACAAAGTTGCAAAATCATCTGAAAACCTATATTGCACTTAAAATGCTTAAACTGTGGTGCATTTTGCTACCAGTTGTATTATCTAGCTATTTGTGGCCATGAAACTATATACTCCATAAATGTGCTTTCTTCTGTTTACCCTGAATTATTGAGACTGCATCATTGTTCGTGTCTCCATTGATAAATAATATCAACACAGCCAGGTATTTTCCTCTTGTGGTGTTCCTGGGGTTATAAAATACAGAGCAATATGGCTTCACTATTTAGTGTTTTCCAGAACACTGTCTCTACCATATTTCATGAACAGATCACAATAATTCGGCAGACTGAGAAGTGGCAATCTAAAATTATCAAAAGCTGGTTATAAGTTTCATTCCAAATACTGTACTAGATTCCTGCATGAATATGTAATGCATAAATTTGTGTATATGAACTTTTGCAAACCTTCATGTATGTCATAACAAATTAAACTTTATAAATACTTAAGTATACAATATTGCATCCAGATATGCTGCTGTTCACATAATGAGATGCATCGAGCATCTCCATAAATATCAGCATTCATTTAAAGTGTTTTTATGTGATTTAAACTTTTTAATCTCACATCATTTCTCGTATATTCTTTGTCCACTTTTGTTCCACGTTAGTACAAGTATAACCATGCACATCATTTTTTAGCTCCGCCGTCGACTTTGTCGAACGAAGCTTATCATATGAGTGATTGTCTGTCGTCGTTGGCGTCCGTGTCTATGTTTTACTTTTTCGACTTCTTCTTAAAAACTACAAGCCTGAATGCTTTGATACTTGGTGTATATGTACCTTGGGTAGACCTCTCTCAGATTTGTTCATTTCATGATGATATCTTCATTTCTCTAATTTTGATGAATATTTTTGTCATTTTTGGTAAAAAGTGATATTTTCGACTTCTTGTTAAAAACCGCAAGTCCAGTTGCTTTGATATTACATGTATAGGTACTACATGTGGACCTCTCTCAGATTTGTTCATTTTGTGATGATATCTTTAATTCTCTAATTTTTGTGAATATTTTTGTTATTTTTGGTAAAAAGTGATATTTTCGACTTCTTGTTAAAAACTGCATGTCCAATTGCTTTGATATTACATATATAGGTACTACATGTGGACCTCTCTCAGATTTGTTCATTTTGTGATGATATCTTAATTCTTTAATTTTAGTGAATATTTTTGTCATTTTTGGTAAAAAGTGATATTTTCGACTTCTTGTTGAAAACCACAAGTTCGATTGCTTTTATAATACATATATAGATACTACATGTGGACCTCTTTCAGATTTGTTAATTTCGTTGTGAAATCTTCAATTACTTAATTTTGATGATTATTTTTGTCATTTTTGGTGAAATGTGATATTTTTGACTTATTGTTGAAAACTGCAAGTCCGATTGCTTATAATTACATATATACATACTACGTGTGGACTTCTTTCAGATTTGTCCCGATACTTTTTATATATATATATTGTTCATTTTCTAATGATGTCTTCAGTTCTTTAATTGTAATGTGCATTGCTAACAACGAAACTATCTCAGCCGAGAGGCTGCTTGTTTTACTTTCCATTTGACTGGCGTTCATTTCCTCCCTAAAAAATGCAAAATATTCAATATAAGTTTTACTAGGTGTCTACCCCTTTTCGGATTAATTTATAAATTAATCTCCTCAGTTATTTTGGTATGCAAACAAATTTAACTGATGTGCAGCCAAAAGTTTCTTTCCTAAGGCATGCATGGGCTGATTTTATTTCATACTTGGTATGAACATTTTTTGTGGTGGCCATGTTGGTTTTTAATTTTAAGAGTCCTTCGCCATTTCTCAGACATCCTCACAAAAATGAACATATCAAGTATCCAAGCAATTAAGGTAGTGGTTTTGAAGAAGTCAAGAATGCAAGTTTTGACCAAAAATAGCAAAAGTATTCTTTACAATTGTATAATAATGTAGATATCAGCACAAAATAAACATGCCTTGACACACTGTTTTGTTTTATGAAGACAAGACAGATTTTTGTGTTCTCAAATCTTAAGACAAATCTTAATCATTGACCATGACTTGTTAATTCATGTAATTTATTTTAGTTCTTGTTAGTTGTAACACACATCTTGATAGATATAAAACTTTTATTTTACATGTAAATGGCAAATTATTTAATCTTTGTCAATGTGGAGAGGGGGGGGGGTAGTTAGCATTAGCTTAGTGAATGTAATCTTTGTTTCACCTCAGATACTAATCAATTAACAAATTTGCTTAATGTAAAATTCCAGAAGTCTGGAGAATAGCTGACCTCATTTCTATAGCTTTTTTTTTCAACATTCTTTTGTTGTGAATCTTTGTCAGTGATTGTGGCAAGTCTAGATGAAAACAATGCATTTTCATCTGTTTTTTGTATAAACAATTGAACAGAATTTCAAAAGCCTGGTTATTTTATTTGTTATTGTAAACAAATGACGTGCCAGTCAAGACGGATATGTTATATCTATTGATCTTCAGCAATCCCAACAAATTACAAAATTATTAAGTAAAATTAGAGAATTGGAATCATTGTCACATACCAAACATCAAAACAATTAAAGTTGAAAATACACTCATTACAAATCAAATATTGCAGACATCAACAAACTAAAACTAATCTTATTAAAGTCGCACACACAACAAATATGAAAACATTAATGGAAATTATTACTGAATGTTGAGAGCTTAGCTAAGAAAATGATATTAATCTGTATATTTCATAGTCATAGTTTAACGTAATCTTAGTGGAAGGAGACTTTTTCTTGATGTCTAGACAGATCAAGCACATTGCAGAATCTGTGATATTATTTAATTTGCGTTCAATACTGCTGTTCACAAAGGTGTGAACAGAGTTGGGGATCATGATTCATATTGACATGACTATAAACAAAATATCTTAATGTGAATTGTAAATTTTTACATGATATTACTCTTATACCACCTTTTCTGAATGAAGTGATTACACTGACAGGGCTAATGTGAACTAGTATAACCGCTTAGCAGCTTAACCTAGAATGCTAGATTGTCCATCAATGTTTATGGGTTTGTGGGTTAATATTCTAAGGTCGTGTTATAGATTTCATTTACTTTTTTTCAAATAAAATCATTAAAGAACTAATGTGTTTCATCATTCATAATATAAAGAGTCTGTACTGTGTCGTATATTCATCACAATTATGCTCATTGATTGCGTAAGTTGAAAGAAATCATTGGCTGTACAATGAAGGTCTGTTGAAGAGCTTTATATATAGAGTAGTACCAGTAAGATCCCAATTCCCTTTGAATCTGACCATTTACCTTTAAAGTTTGTCATGAATATTTATACACATTTCGATTTGTGTTACCATGAAAATTTAAATGTTTCTTATTCAAAATATGTGTGTAACCTTGTTAAAGCGAATAATTTGTTAGTGATTTGTGTTCAGTAAATTCGTTATCTCGTTTGGATAATTTCATTGAGTATCCAAACTTTTCTATTGAGGATTTTATCCTGTAGTTTGGGGAATTATGTCGCAATGCTGCTACCAAATGTAACATGGTAAAAAATGTTGTTATCAGTTGTCACAATACTCATAGACAGCCTTCTTGGTTTGACGATGACTGTGAACAATTAAAGTCTTACAAATACAGTTTGCTGAGACAATTTCGAAAGTATGGGAGTCAAAAACCTTTCGACTGAATTTAGTGACGCTAAGAAACGTTTTAAAGCAATGTGTCGTCATAAAAAAAGAACATTTCTTGAAAATAAAGCCAAATTGATAATTTCTTTAGCTAATCCCAAAAAATGTTTGTTAATACTCAGAAACCATACTTTTACGTCTACTCCGAGACGCGCTCAAATTTCACCTGTTGAATGGTATGATTATTTTAAGGATCTCTTTTCACAAAAGGACAGTTCGGAGGAATTCATCCTCACAGAAGAAATGAACTATGACCTTTTTAATGGACCAATTTCTAACGATGAAATATACCAAAGCATCAATTCATCAAAACCAGGCAAATCATCTGGACCAGATGACATTATTGGCAAATTTTTTAAATCAACACGTGATCAAATATTTCCCTATTCAAATATTCTGTTTAATAGATTGTTTGACAGTGGGATATTTCCAACACTTTGGTCTAAGGCTATAATACCAATTTTTAAGAAGGGCTCCACAAACATTCCTGGGAATTATAGGGGGATTTCCTTGCTAAGTATTTTCAGTAAAATTTTTACTTCTATTTCAAATAGTCGTCATGTTTATTGGGCAGAAGTACTGAACAAAGTTGACGAAAGGCAAGCTGGTTTTAGAAGGGGTTACTCCAATGTTGATAATATTTTCATACTACAGTCATGAATTCAGAGATATCTTACCAAGAAAAAAGGGCAAATTTTACTGTGTTTTTATTGATTTTCTCACTATAGAACGTCAAAGACTTTGGTATGCCTTGTTAAAAGGGGGTGTTCATGGCAAAATGTTTAAAATGCTAAATAGCATATATAGTGATGTTAAATCGTGTGTGAAATCATAAGCTGGCAACACAGATTA